ATTTTAACATCTGCATACCATTTCTAAATGGAAATGTCTCACTTGTCTTTGTTATTCAAAATAATTTAATAGGATGCCTCAAGAAACAGTTATCTATATGACAGACTTGGAGGTCATCATTACAAAAGCAAAATTCAGCATTGTCCGACCTTTGGGCGACTGTTAATTTGAAATAAGTTTTAATGCACACGGTGTCAAGAAAAGTATTTTTTATCATTTATAGAGCCAACCTACTGTAGATGCTTACATAAACTTTATGTAGAGTTAATAAACGTAACAGGTAAATATGAAGAAATACCCTGTATAGATTCAAATGAGGCATGTACTAAAGGTACTACTGCCCATACCATTTGAATCTATTTGTCACATGACTTCTAAATGAAGAACTTCAATACCCGTACAATGAAAACATGCATTAGAAACGCATCATTTTCCTCTACGTATTTCCAGTCCCCCAGAAGAAAGCTTGTAATGAGGCCACAACTATATTTAGGGGCAGTCAGATCTAGACCATAATCATTTCTATTTGGCCTTATTAAAATAAAATACTGCATATATTCTTACTCTCTGACAACTCCCTTGCATGTAATACATGCAAATTGCTTCATTTTTGCGAGAAGGTGATCGGGACCTGGAACGAGATCTTCTGAATCTTCTGTTAGGACGTCGTGGTCGGCGTCCATGGCGTTCTCTCATTTCGGAATCCGAGCCAGATTCAAAGGAGTCATAATCTGAACAAGAAATTCATATACAAACTATAAAAAATAATAAAATGTAAGTAACCGTTTTAAAATTAATCTCTTTCCCTGAAGTAAGTCGCAATTTGGGGAAATTTCTCATTTTGACACATCACTAAATATACCAGTAAGTCAACTATTTACATTGGGGAATGTATTGCTGGAAAATATTCATTTGACAAAACAATGTAGATTTACTCCTATTTTTCAACTGACTGAAGGAAAAAATTTGGATACATTTTTCTTAGGGCATCTTTTGATCAAAACTTGCAAAGCCCCAAAAATATTATGCAACAAAAATACATTTAAATACATAATATAAACCATGTTTTGTTCTGTATAATCAATAAAGTCACAGACACATTCCACTGACTATGATCTTCAATCCAAACACGAACAATTGCTCTATATCAACCACCACTTCAGCTTTGCATATTAATTTTCCTATATTACAGCATTTGCACATGTTGTTCTCACCATCACAGCTGAGAAACTAAATGGATTTGCCATGGTTTAACAGATAAAACTCACTGGGGACTTAACCAATATGGCATTGATGTCAACACTGATGCCAGGGTATGCATTGAGAATGGTAGGTTTTGTGCATTGTTATGAATGCTACCCAAAGTACAGGTTGTTTGCTTGCATCATTTTTTTTCATTTTCGATGTTGAAAACAGAATTTTATTGAATTAATGCATCTAAACCAATATATGTTCCCCAATTTGACAGAAAATTTCTTGTAAAAAATTTAAATAGAGGGCTTACTGTAAATTGTGCAGAGCTAATGTCAAGTAAAATCATATCACAAGCTTAACCTTTCTTGAGAATCCTCCTCTAACTCTGGCATCACATGTAACACCAACAACTCAATACACCCATCAATTGGACCACATAAGCAGGATGCTCATTGTCATTCATATCTGTGAATAAATGCCTGCAAAATATCTTGAAAATGGAAAGTTACAATGTTCAAACCATGCATATGTATTCATCGCAAGAACCCGCCAGAGAGCAAGTTTTAACCCTTAGGCCCCGGGTGACGTTCCAGAACGTCAGCCTATTTTCCCGTTTTTTTTTATATTAATTTTGGAAATGATTTTTTTCTCTCGATTTAACCCCGCGTGGGGGGTACTGCCAGTAGCACCCTAACCCGGGGCTTAAGGGTTAAGAAGAAACTCTGACGCTGACAGCATAAATCCTATAGTCCAGGGTCTATGGCCAGCCTAGGGACCCAGAAGCCCACATGAGGAGAGAATGGGTCAAGAGCAGTGTTCCTTCTAAGCTGCATGCCTGAGTGGCCACACAACAGTCATTCAAGTGCTGCGAACTTAATTTTTCTAGCAATGAATATTGCCAGTGACGGAGACATAATTTTTTCATAGTAAATCGACAATTTATGCAGTGCACCCTGGTAAATATTCCTTATTTTTTTATTATTTCTACTTCTTGCATATCTATGGTAACTTTAAAACAAATATATTATTTACTGTGCACTCTCCCCAAAGAGTATTGGCCCCTTTTCTCATCGATACAATGTGTCCCAAATCACAATGGATGAATTTTTCCGAATATTCTGATCACTACCGGTAATTGTGATTCCTGCAGTATGTTAGTAGGCCTGCCTTCCTAGTACCTGTATCTGTGAGGTTGCCATCTATTATTTTTGGCATATAATGATATTAATGTAGCGAAAATATATCAACAGCAGTCACAGTGTGTGTGTATTCTGCTGGAAATCCACGACCAACACTAGTACTCGAGACTCATTGGAAAACACCGCTTGCAACAAAAGATATCGTCTCATAGTGTATATCAGATAATGTTCCATTGCCATCACGAATCCATATACAGTATTACCTTGCTACACAAAACAAAATTTATTCCATTCAGTAATGTAAAAAATTAGAGGGAATCTTAATCAAAAGATGCATGAGTTTGGACAATGAGGAAAAAGAATTATGAATATGCCAAGAATGAAATGGAGCAAAGTTGTGAGATATGATCTTGTATTAGTCCCTGTCTATTAGACAGTACTGTAGCACTTATATAAATATGGGTAAATACATTTGTGTTATATAATTCTATCACCCCCCCCATAATTTTCCATGAGCTAGTGAGGGTCACACAAGTAACATGTGATTGGTAATTTTCCACTGGCAGAGTAGCGTCACTAAGGATGCCAACCCAGTTCCTTAGGGCCCGCTCCTCGCCCAGTTATCACTTGACACTCACAAGAGCCAAACGTTGATCTAAGATTATCCCAGTTAAGCTCCGTCCTTTAACTAACACTCACAGCTTACAGTGTTAATTATGGTATTCTCCTTATTGAGTGTGCACAGTATATTTTTATAAATAAATGGGGAAAAAATCATTTGGGTTTTGCAAACTACAAACTTTTTATGTATCCAAGTTCAGCTACTTACAAAAAGGATACATAAGGTGGCAGCTGATACAATCTAAGGAATAAGCATCAAACTAGAGAGGCTGCAAGAAATTGTAGTCTTAACAGCTGATATGAGGTAATTGTGGTTAGCTCACACAAGCATGGAAAATGGCCATAAAACATTTCTGTGACTCGGCACAGGGTGCCAGACTATAGAGTTTCAACCTGCACCATTTTCACTTGGAGACATTTATCAAGACTATTGGCCTCAATTTAAAGGGTGAAATAGTGAGATAAGTAGTATCTCACTAAACTACTGGTACTCTTCACACTGTCATTGGTCATTGCCACTCTTCTCAATGCAACATACCGATAAAATGCTTCCTTTGCATTCTGTACCTTTAATTTCCACTATCTCTTTCTCAGAAAAACACCTTCCTTTCCCTGTTCCTAATTAGCAAACTGTGCTGCAAGGCACATTCTTCCCTTTACATCCATAACAACCTTCCTGTCTTATTTCCTCACTAATTCTTAAGACTGTTTGTTAATGTTCTGTTCAACCTCTAGCCTCACTTCCAGTATTTTGTTGAAATTTTTTTTTTTAATTGTTTAATATGAAGTTGAAAAGCACCGATTGTTTTTGTTTTTTTTGCTTTTTTGGGTACTGTACCTCTAGTCCCAGTTTGCATTTTCACCATATTCAACTGTCCTGAGCAGCACTGATTAACAAAATTCTTGAAGCCAGTTTCACTACCCAGCTCTGACAGCAACGGTAATATGCATGCTACAGGAGGCATTGGGTATTGATTAATAAAGTTCCCTCCCATGTCCAAGGATAACACTGAAAAATTGTGTGGTCAGGAAGAGTTATAGTATCAGTGTTTTTTTCACTAAACCTTCCTTACTTTAGTAATCATGTTATCTCCTCACCTGGGGTTCATGTCTACTGAACCTTTGATGCTTTAACAGTAAGATCCCCTCCTACTTTTCTAGCTCGCTGCTTTTACAAGAGCTGCCTGACTTGGGGCAACTGACCTGAATTTTACGACTGATCCTAAAATCCTTTTTTCTGGTTAAAACCTGAGCCCGGCAGGTCAGATACATCTCCTCCTTAATTGGTTAGCCAACTGAACACTAAACATGGGGAGTTCACATATATAAAAAAAACATACAAACTTTTTCTTCTTAAATGGATAAAATAGTCTTAACTAATGGAAACATCATAAAGTATAAAAAAAAAAAAAACAGATTTCATCCCTTTGAAATGTGATTCCAATACTCAGGGTTCTGGGTGTGGAGGCTTTAGATGATCTTCAAACCCACATACCTGACACAGGCCGTCCCCGAAACATGGGATGTGGAGCACCATAAGGCCCAGGAGGTGGAACATATGCCATCATTCCCGGAGGTGGGGAACGTCCTCTGAGGATCATTTCTTGTTGCAGCATAGCATCAAAACCCATATTGCCATCAAAAGCAGGAGGTATAATTTTACGGTGAACAAACTGTTTAAAAAGAAAGGATAAAAATTATTAGAGATTAAGAGCAAATTGCAATTATATTTTTGGAGGCTGGGGCAATGAAAATATGCAAATGGGAAGTCTATTACCTAAATGTGGCAAGACGGTAAAAATGCAAACTTAAAAAAAAATAATCATCAACAATGTTTAAAAATATAAAGAAGTTTAATTAATCATGTTACTTACTTTTTGGGTGGAAGGAGAAACTATGAAATTAATATACCTGTACGAGTTAATGAAATCATTTGTTGAGATTCTGCAGCACAATAAACAGCTAAGACTTCTGTTCACATATGTAAAGTTTTGAGCTAATAATAAGTAAATTACTCTTATTAATGTTTGATGCCCATGCCTATTTTTCTAATGTGTCTCTAGCTAAATAAACACAAGTCAACAGGGCACAGAAGGGGTCTATCAACAGGGCGTTCGTTAACCGAGGGACCACTGTACACATAATATATGGGTCGATAATTTTTTAGTGTTATATTTTTGTAGGATGGGAAGTGCTTCAATAAGTCGTAATTTGGAATAACTCTGCAAGGCCAGTGCCCCATTTTTTTTTAAAGGGATTAGCCCACCCGGGCACAGGTCACTGACCCACATCGGGGCCTGGGGGCAAAAATGTAATAATAATAATAATAATAATAATAATAATAATAACAATAATAATAATAATAATAATAATAATAATAATAATAATAATAATAATAATAATAAAATAATAATAATAATAATAATAAAGAACCATAAAGAAATATAAAAATGAAAAAAAAAAAGATCAATATAGTGAGAAACAATATATGTATGTTGTGTTGTCAATAGTAAGAGAAACAATTGAGACCCTGCAATTGTGTGTAAATGAGGCAGAAAGTCAGATCAGCAACCTGGCACTTGGTCACAATTTTCCTGATGCCATGTGGCAGCAGGGTCTACCATAGATTACACATTATGCTTCCAATAGCTTCCCAGGCAGTAGTACTTCCCTGTTTGGTAGCTGCCTGCTAACTATCAAGGGTTTACTGTATACCAAAAGTTTTTTCACAACTATGATACAAATGCAGTATTTTCATAAAAAAAAAATAAATCACAAAATATACAGTACATTGTTTCCTACACTTTCAATACCGTAAATATTTTGTGATGAAGAGTCAACAACAATATTACAAAGACTTTTGTCATACAGTATGCTCATTACACTGAAGGAGTTGGTTCTGTTGGGAACTCACAAAACATGCTGTAATGGGTTTGTTATGTTGTAAGATCAAAACAGTAAAAGGTTATGATGTTGTAAGGTCAAGTCATTGAAAAGATTTTGTTTTGTTTCAAGGTCAAGACACTAATGGAGTTTGTTATGTTGTATAGTCAAAACAAAAGCAGTTTTCCTTTCATTAAAACACAAAATTGCATTAGTTGTTTTAAGCTACAAATGATGAAAGGTTTGTTCTGGAGTAAACTCACAACATCGTAAGTTTACAACACAAGGTATATGTTCCACTGTAAGCTTACAACACTGAAAGAGTCTACTGTACAGAGGGAGTTTGTTCTGTTTTATGCTCAAAACATGTGACAAAATTAAACAAAAAGACATTTTGTTTACCTTCTGTGCTGGTGGTACTTCCTCATCTTCCTCCTCACTACTAACATGTTTCTTTTTCTTCTTCTTTTTCTTTCTCTTTTCCTTCTCCTCATCATCATCTCTATGCTTTCTCTTCTTCTCCTCCTTACTCTGTGCAACACATAAACAATCATATCCATAATGACTATAGGTGAAGGAATTATTATTAAATCATTTCCTTAAGATTAGATGGATAGACAAAATTACTATACAAATCAATTGAGAATGAATAAAAAAAACGTCAGGTTATAAGGTTCTTTGATTAAGCACTGAACAGGGTACTGCAATAGGTCAAATTTTTAATCCATATCTTCCTTGTGGAGGATATTAAAAATTAAAATGTCAATCTTTCAGCATAATCATGACAATTTTTTTTAATGCTCTGTAAAATGAACTGCCAATCTAACCAAATCAAGCCTCTCAAGTGAGATTCAATTATTGTACTGTAGTAGGTTACTCAATACCAAAAATTAAATGTCTAGATTTCATTCCCAGATTTAAACAGATCTTGATAAATGCAACAACATTAATTTTTATAAGTTTTGATAAAAAAGGAATATCTGATATATAAAACTATGCACAGAAATTTAAATTTTACCCCTAAAAAATCATATGAAGACAGAACAGAATAAGAATAATGCTAAAAAATTTTACCCATGTGTTTGTTTCAGTTAATAAAATGCAAATACTGTATGGTATCAAAGAAAAGAAAATCTTATTGAAAACTTTTTAAAAAATACTGAATGTCCACATGGAGCATACAGTTTCTTCTGTTTTCAATCACGTTGAAGAATATGTTAGAATAGGTTTACTTACACTAGGTTTGGTTAGTTTATTTAATGTGCTGTCTAATCACCCACAGACAGACTGATGCCATGTCAAAGGAACTTTTTTTTTTTCATAAGATCAATCACTTTTTTCTTCCTTCTCTAACACTGGATTTACATTATAGGCACTGAAACAAAACCATCAGTAAAGTGTAGTGCGAACATTATTTATACCTTGAAGCTTGTATACTGTACTGTGTTATAGTTACTGTACTATGGCCAATAAACATGAACCTTATATTTTTTTTGTGGTGCTACCATAAAAAAAGGGATGGTGAATTATGTGGTATTACAAGAAAAGCAAACAATAGTTGCTAAACTGGAGGAAGGGGAGTCACCTCAAGATTTAACTAGAAGAGTTCAGTGCTTCTTTGCATAATTTGCACTGTACAATATTAAAAAAATTAAGATAAAATATGAGATCTGATGAGCAATGTATGCAATGATGCAAGAAGAAAAATAATGCAAAAAGCTATTACTGTACAAAAGATTTAGACATACTTATGGTATGTAATACAGTAGTTCAAAGAGGCAATGGTGTGATTACTAGTCTAAGTAATCTCATTCCAAATGCTCAAGCAATAGAGATGTTTCAACAGGTAAGTGAAATAAAAAATCTGAGAAAATGCTGACTGGCTTCAGCATTTCAAGAAACATCAAAAGATCCATTCACTCCCTGGAGCTATATGATATGAAAACAGTGTTGATGTCCATTCATTGAGAAAATGCAAAAAAAATATTCAAGACAAACTGAGTTGTGAACAAAGTGTATAACTGCAAGGCCTTGTGTTTAGTGTGGCTGGGTTAGCAACACATATTCAAGCTGTTTTTGAGGAAAAGAAGGTGTTTGAATACAAAATTATGAATACTATATACTGTAGTAGTTACATTCTGCTGTGTGCTGTTTCTCTAACCTTTCCCACAACTCTCTCCTAAAATTCTCCCTACACCTCCCTCTTCCAAGACTCTCCCTTCTTCTTACTCCTCACTCATGCAAAACTCTCCCCCTTTCTATCTTCTCAAACTTTTAATTCTTCTCACCTCTCTCCTCTCCTTCTTCCCTTCTTCTCTGATGTCCACCTCTAATCCAGCCCTGTTTTCTCCTTCCAGCCGTTCCTCCTCCATGTTCACTTTCATCTCCTCGACCCCTTTCTCCTCGTGACCCAACTGGGGAGAGGTGGGCAGATTCTTGGAGAGGTCATCCCCCCCCTCATCGTCTTCCAGCTCGCCATCTTCTAGCTCTCCATCCTCTTTTTCTTCCTCTTCCATGAGGCTCAGCTGATTCTCCTCCATTGCACTGAGGGATGAAGGGAAAATCTGAATAAGGGACCATTATATACATGTAAGAGGAAGGTAAACAATCTACACTAGCCAATGAAGAATATGCTGCATTAGTTGATACCGAATTTGCCCTGTGGGGGCTAGTTTATTGGGTACCTCTTTACTTCCTGTGCAAGGCAAAGTAATAAACTATTACAGTGCTCAACAGGGAAGCATACAGAGGGCACAATTGCCTTTTTTTACTTATAAAATTATTAGGCGTATACAGGTTGACAATCCCTTATCCGAAATCCTTGGGGCCAGAGGCATTTCGGAATTTTTCGGTTTTCAGAATAAAGACGAAAGCTAAGGTGCTCCGTTGTTTCCCTTTTCCCAATGTGATTTTATCAAAATTTATCTTATCCACGTTTTCATTGTGGATCTACATGAAATATATATATATATATATATATATATATATATATATATATATATATATATATATATATATATATATATATATATATATATATATATATAATCAACGACCTCACCAGCCAGGAATCGAACCCTCGACCTACTGGGTGGGACTAGGGAACGCTACCGACCAACCCACAAGGACACTAAAAGCAGTCCTAGACTCTGTAATATTTCACACAAAGCCTGTTCATCGAGCTGATGGCGCCGTGAACCTCATTGGGAACTGCCCGTGCCTTGTATGTGGTGTCAGTAGTATTTTACCGAATCCAGCTGGTATGAAACACGAGGTACCATATATATACTTCATTTTTAGTGCGTTTAGTGTCCTTGTGGGTTGGTCGGTAGCATTCCCTAGTCCCACCCAGTAGGTCGAGGGTTCGAATCCTGGCTGGTGAGGTCGTTGATTATCATGTGTATATATAAATATATATATATATATATATATATATATATATATATATATATATATATATATATATATATATATATATATTATATACACGTGTATTATTACCGGGCACAAGTCACTGACCCACATTAGCCTGGGGTGGAAATATTATTATTATATATAATAATAATAATAATAATAATAATAATAATAATAATAATAATAATAATTCATTGGTTTAGGTCGTGTTTCTCACTTCTGATCTTTTTATCATTCTTGTATTTCTTTATTATTATTATTATTATTATTATTATTATTATTATTATTATTTTATTATTATTACAGTATTATTATTATTATTATTATTTTTATTAATATCAGTATTGTGTATTTTTTATTAAAATTTTTATTTACTATGAATAATTATTATTATTATAACTTAGTATTACTATTATATTTTCGCGCCCCAGGCCCTGATGTGGGTCAGTGATCTATGCCCGGGTGGGCTAATCCCCCGTTTAAAAAAAAAAAAAAAAAAAAATTGCTCCACAAAAAAAAACTTTCGGTTTTCAGAATTTCGGATAAAGGGTTGTCAACCTGTATCATATTTGTCAGTCAGGGCCAATCAGTGAGGCAGACAGGATCAACTGGTACATGACAATGCTAAATAAGACAGTTAACAATACAGTAGTGTACTGTATACGTACTGGGTGATTACAAATCATTTTCCCAATTTTAAACATTTATGATGAAAACATAATAAAGCTACTGTACAACACAAACTGAGATCCATGAATAAAAAACCTAAACATTATTATTTCCAAGCTATAAAAGTTCTGCATAGTTTCCAAGTTACAATACATTTTAAGATGTTGCATTAATGAGAGTGAATTTGATGTGAAAACCCCTAGGTTTTTGTAATAGTTTATTCACAGATGTCTTATGTACAGCAGTACAGCGTGATACAGATGGCTGACTCAGGTGCAATGAGACAGGAACCGTGTACGACCGAATGAGATAAAAGCAGTTACAGGGGGGAGAGAGTTTCACACCAAATTCACTCTCAGACATCTTAAATGTATTGTAACTTGGAAACTATGCAGAATCTGACATATTACCATAGAGACATTGTGGTTTAGAATTATCCAAGGATTTCAACCTCCAATTTAATATACTGGCATGTAAAGCAAATACTGTACAGTAAACAGAATATTGAATGAACATGGGGGAGAGGAAAGTATATGAATACTTAAACTATGTAGGGAGAAAGGAGATGGAACAATTTGTATGAATAACCGGTTTTATTTACACTGATATGATTCACTTGATATTAACAGATGATACACTGAGAGTAGGACTGAACAAGGAAAATGAGGTACAAAAATAGCACATGATTCTGGCGAGAGCAATGAAGTAAATTAAGGGTACAAAACTAAGAGGGAACAGCACAAAGGTAAATTATACGTTCAGTATATACTACTGTAATTAGAGTAAAGCAAACAAGCGTATTAATTGTGGGGCAGGTAATAAGGAAATTAAACATGAATTGAGGAAAGAAAAGCAGGACATTAAATGTACAGGTACTAATAGGGAACAGAAAATAAGCAAATTACATGCAAAATAACAAAGGATTAAAATTAAATGTACTGTACTCATTGGGGAACAACAAAGAAAACAATTAAATTTAAACGTAGGATACAAAGCAGAGAACAACAAAAATGAGAACAAGGTAACTAATTAAACAGAAACAAACGAGTCAACTTTCTACATACAGTACGGCATACATTATTTACACCAAATGTCCAATCATTAACAGGAATAAATCACCCACCTTGAAATTTACTTGACAGAAAAGGACTACTGTACAGCTATTTGAGAATGATTAAAACTATGAAAAAAATATTCATTCTGGCATTCCAAGAACCTCGAGCATAAGAAATGACCCCGGGAAGTGTCTTCCCCCAGATCCATATTTTATGTTGGGTGAATCAATGATGAAAAAAAAGTTGCATTAATGGGGCAGAGAATGAGTGTATCAATGGGACACAGAATGGGTGTATCAATGAGGAATAGATTGAGTGTATCAATGAGAAATAGAATAGGTGTATCAATGGGGTACAGAATGAGTGCATCAATGGGACACAGAATGGGTGTATCAATGAGGAATAGATTGAGTGTATCAATGAGAAATAGAATAGGTGTATCAATGGGGTACAGAATGAGTGCATCAATGGGACACAGAATGGGTGTATCAATGAGGAATAGATTGAGTGTATCAATGAGAAATAGAATCGGTGTATCAATGGGGTACAGAATGGGTGTATCACTGAGCCAAAGAATAGGTGTATTGGGAAACAGAATGGGTGTATCAATTATGGGACATGCATACAATAATCCTTAAAGAAAGCTAAAAAATAACAAAACTACACATGTAATACACCAGATATTGACAGAAATATAGCTGAGACTATAGAAAACTACTCAAAAGGTAAAGTAAGCCAAATAAAACTGGATTAAAATGTAACAGCAAAAACAGATGTACAGTAGTATATAGAAAACAAAATTCAAGACAAGTTGTAACAAAAAAGAGCAAATCATATTAGTGAAGAAAGAAATATAAGCAAATAGAGAAGGGTGCCAATAATCCAAATCAGAAAAAAACTAAGGAATGCATATAAAACCATAATCAGCGAAGCGATAAACGAAACACTCTGAAAAAGTGTTACGTCACAAGAATCCAAGGAGGAGTGCGCATTTTCTGTTGAAATCTGGGGTAGTTACGATTTCGTGGCTTATCTGCACTATTTTCCAATCTCGTTCAAATAACAATATCTCTAGATAAAGAGGCACTTGTTAACGTAAATATTCCACACAGAATGGTATTTAATCTTTGTATCATGGGACAAGTGACCTTTGTAAAATTTCAACACATTCTCACCAATCTCTAAGTCCAGTTTTATTATAAATCCGGAAAAAAAATTAAGCAAATTTTCATTCCTAACTTAGCCACTCAACAAATTTAAAGGTCTGTGAGTGACTACAAGAATAAGAGTTAATGGAAGCTGAACCTTTGTAGTGCGGTATTCATATTAAGTCCAATTTTGTAACAATCAGCATGTACTGTACATATATATATATCCATGATGCTGTACTAGTATTTCTTGAAGTGGAAGTATAAAGTAAGCTTTAAATTATCCACAAACTTACACGTGAATTGAGGTCTTTAAAGAAGCCAACAATATTCAAAGATATCCTATTAACCACCACGCTTTGAAGTCACAACATTCATAACAAAACATATGAGTACAAGTACCTTAAATATGAATACGCCCCAATTATAAGTAAATTTAAAATTATAATAATCCTAGCCCACTTTTGAGGGGATATACTAAGGCGTACAGAAACCTCAGGAGGGTTATGGCAGGGAGTGGTGCAAGACAAAGCAATAAGTAAAGTAAAGGGTAAGAACAGGCTGAGACAACAAGTATAATCAAATAATTAAAGAGACCAACATTCTTAGGTTAGCCCATACGCTTCCCCCACTCAGCGTCATTGTGTGGGTCCCACATATTTCCATTTAAATTCATCTATACGATCGAAAAACAGCTAAAAATATACGTGACTGGTTCAAAAGTTTACGAAAAGTCTCCTTTCTCTGAACAATAATATAATAGTCACACACGCTCTTATCAGTGTCTTAAGAATCAAAATATTATACGCTTCAATAATGACACCAAAGACTCCATGGAAGTATTTAGCATATATTCAATTATAATTTATAGCAAAAAAAATGCGATGGAAGTGTTTTCGACATCCTTAACTAATCCACGATGCAGAATTTAATCGTTACATCGGTATGCAATGCAATATTAGAATAAAATATTACAAAACAAAAAATGTCATCACTATCAAAGTTCCCAATTCTTTGTTTAAACTTTATTTGTAGCCTTTGTTCACCTTTAAGATTTAGAACACTTACGAAACTCCTCAAATACGGGTTATTCTGGAAAACCAGATTATCTAAGGTACGTACCATATAATGAGTTTACCTGATAGCCGATGTAAGAAAGTCAAATATAAAAATGTTCCACGAAATAGGAGCAAAATTAGGGTATAAAGCCTTTCGGAAAAGAAAATGCGTAGTTTTAACAAAGCCACTTTCGTGCATTCTCGCACCTTCAGTTACGATGAACAATCAGTATATGGAGCTCTAAGAATCTGGATCATGTACTGCCCAAGTTACAGAAATAAACATTAATCTCAATAAATTGCTGAAATAATACGGATAAAAGCAATCAACGAACCAGGAGAAATATTGGTCTAATTTACATTAGGGAAACTAATAACCGAAATTCAAGAAATAATATTTGTTAGAACACAATATTAGATTTTCCATCGTTGGTTATGCTTGTGAATCATATACTGTATTAAGTAAACCGCTTAAAGTTGAACAAATTGTGATTGCATTCCCGAGCTGAGCTTTCACATCAGTCAAAAAATACTTCATACAGGTAACACATGATAACTACAGATAAACACATATACATTTATACAATATATAAAACTTTTAGGGCATTACCGTTAACGTTCAACAAACATTACTAACTGAACCGAAGCAACCATATTGTACTCATAAAGTGACATTCAATAGCATGATAAAATATTTAAGTTAGGTACAAAATCGCTAGTATTTTCGCAAATTCCTAAGCCCTCGGTGGGCCAAGGTGTGCAGCACAATTATGGCGATTAACACCAAATGTAGGCATAGTTCAGTACATAGAACAAAAACACTGAAAGTGAACAAAACCACAACCATAAGGTACCTATGTTCTATGCCCTACTCTTTCTTCCTCAGAAAGTAAAATTCACTTTAACAAGTAACACCGCTATCTTACTGTAATGTCATTACATTCCTCGGAAACATCTATTATAAATTATAACATGCGTCAAGCTACCTCATTTAACGGTTCGTTTTCGACTAAAATTCTGGCATTACTATTAGAAACGTGACGCGATCCACCATTGTTAATCCCTCGGTGCTATGGCAACGGGTTATATCAAACGTGAAAAAAAAATCATCAAAATTCTCACTAATATTAAACATACAGCAATGACACGAGATGCCAGCCCTCCACAGTCATGATTGTGAGGTTACTGCCAACATAACACTGACCTCTGATCGCCATTTGCTTATCTGGGAGTTAAAAAGTTTACCGATAAGAAAGCATTTTTACTAATCCACAAATTTTAACAACGCATAAACGATGAACCAACAAAATGGTTTCCGTTTAATCTTATAAGCCATTAGCGATGTTTTATTCTACAAGTAACGCAACTGAAGAATAAAGAACAATTACCAAGAAGGGTGCGACTAATTCTTAATTTAAATCGTAATATAACGTGCGGGAGGCGCCACACCCCAACACGTTACTATTTTATAAATATATAAAAGCTATTCACCCAAATTCTACCCAAAAGTTTGTTGATTTATAGTACCAAGGGTTCTATTTCCCATCACACAAGTAATAATCATTCACCCGTCAGTATAGGTGATGAAAAATACTACTTTCTTGTGATGGCGTAATACGTGGGGGAGGGGAGGGATGTCAGCTGTGCGAGGCTAGCTGGAAGGGGGGAGAGGGGGGACAAGGGGAGGGGACGGGGTGTGCTGATTATAGCCGAACCTCCCCCTACCATAACTCTTTAACCACAAGCAGAAATAAAGAACAGAGAATAGATGAATAGGGGAAAATAGAGAGAAAAATCGAGTAAGTCATAGAGCACCTTTTCACATATAACACAGGTTCCCGAACCTGTCAATTCACACGTCACCACATTGATAACTTGTCTCCAATCCGCTTGTTCTTCAGTGTATATGTTGAATAAATGTCATGTCATGTTATGAAGGTAATAGGATCACTCCATGGAAGGCCTCATGGCACTGAACATACCAACGTACATACTTCAGCGGAGGCATCACTTTGATTGCCAAATCAAATATGCTCACACGTTCCAAACTTTGGCTTTTTAAGCATCCGGCAGGGAATAAATACTATTGTTCTCGAGACAATGAGGAAGCTCTGATGTTAAATGATCTTCCTGCCTGGTCTTTGATACCCTCGTACCCGCCGCTGGCTACAAAATCCGTCGAGTTATAGTGCAGCTGTCCACATGACGCCATGACCAGCTGCAATGGCCGCCCTACCAGGGACCCGGCGCGAGGCTACCAGCACTTGGATGTTCAATACTTTCGCGTTAGACATTACACAAGTTATATTACTCACCCATACACACAAAATAACTTCCAACCAAGTGGCTCATAATGATTAATACTTCTACAGAAAACTAGGCACAAGTACAAAGAACAAAAATGGAGGGAGGGATAAAGAAGCAAATATAAAATCACGTCAACAAGTCTGCGCTAGTTCAAGGACAAATAATGAGGTCGGACCCCGCCTATCTATGCTCTTTTACCTGTCTAACTCCATATATTACAAGTATTTTTACGTGTTTTAGGGGACGCTACTATATTAATTGTTTCAATTCATCTATAATATCGAGACCAGCTTCTTGGTAGCCAAAGGACGAAACGCCATCAGTGCCTAAGGCATCATGCATCATTCACTTTTCGGAAGAATAACTCTTTTGGGATATTATTTCACTACTAGTGCAGCAAGAAGTTATGACTAAACTGAGTTATTTACCACTGATATCCACTAATGTTGTAAACGGAAAATCATCATAGGATCGACAGTGTTCATATCAACGACAGCAGTAACGACCAAGGACTGACGTGGCAAGGCGAAAACCCGGCCACAATCGCTTGGAAAAACCTATTATTGGAACAAGAATTCAGACTCGATTTTTCTCTTAGATTGAAATTTCTTTTGTAAATTACAAAAAAATATATACAATACAATATAATTTATAATATTATACTGCAATATTGTTGCAAAAACCCGAACTTTTGACTTTAAAACATTTGTTTACCTTTAAAAGATTTTGCTGTACCTTAGAATTTTCGCTTGCCTTACACCTCGCCTGTGACGTCATCGCTGAGGATCGATATTCTCACACGTTTTAGTTCATTGAGTACTATATAATATTTAGGCGTGAGCTTTTCAAATGCAATTTTTATAAAACAAAATCGTATATCATAACCTCATATATTTACAAGTTGTCGCTAAGCAATAGCATATACATATGGTTGATTTCCGGTTCTAGAATCACTATACAGTATATACTTACAGGCAACCCATGGATAACTGTTCAGAAAAAAATATGTACAACAATAATTCAGAGGGTAAAGCAACTTTACATGTCTTGAATGAATACTTACACACAATTCAAAAAATGCAACCTTCGTATCATGCAACTACAGAACTTATGATCTAATCGCATATACAAGAAATAAAGAGTACACATCATGGTAACGAATACTAATATATTAGTCTAAGCCCTCCACAAAGTTACACGCGTTTAAGAACTACTTGAGCGAAATATAAGAAACTTGGACGTAAATATCTGGTATATGTGCACACCAGTGAGGAGTGCGTATATTGCTGCTTTTGTTCATTGTTTTCATGCCCATTTATTCTAATATTGATATAATCTTTGTGAGTACATTATGTATGCTTCTTTTTTCTCTAGTACCATTTTAACTAGGCTCAGCGCCCAGCAATTTCCTCTTTAGCTAGGTTCAGAACCGTCTCCTCTTTAGATAGGCATAGGCTTAATATCGTCTCTTAAACTCTACTCAAAATCGTCTTTCTTAAACTAGGCTCAGCATCGTCTTTCTTAAACTAGGCTCACCACCCAAGCGCCCATGAGTCTCCTCTCTAGTTAGGCTCAGCACCCATGAGTCTCTTTAGCTAGGCTCATCACACATCCTCCCCTCTATAGATACCATAACCTTACTATTTAAGATCCTCCCTTGTAACTGTTCGTGTTAGTGGTACAGCGCGTCTCACACCAAACTTCAAGGGCTCGAGCCTGGACACGAGTGAGGTTTCCTCCAGTACTAACACTGCGGCTAGTAAACTGATGTGGTGAGAAAAAAAAATCCTCATCATCCATGGTCTCAGCATCCTCCCCTGTAGCTAGGGTCAGCACCCAGCATCCTTCTTTATAGCTAGGGCCAGCACCGTAACGAGCCAGCTAGAGGATCAATAGTTAACCCTAACCTTGGCTAAGGTGCCTTCCCATCCTCTCGTCTTCCTCCACCACCCGCGTTACAAGTGGTCCCCATGATCGAGCCGTTACTCGTTAGCCGATCGTATAGATTTTTTTTTTTACAGATTGCCCACGAGGGGGCTAGTTTATTGGGCACCCCCTTACATCCTGTGCAAGGTGAAGCGCAAAAGCGTTTACAGCGCCCAACTGGGAAGCATGCGGTGTTCATGCTTGCCTTTATGACTCATGCATTAAGGACGTAAAGGCCTGAAGGGTCATGGGTTTTGTCAGCAAGTCACATAAAGTGACAGAATGATGCGTGTGTGGGGGGGGGAAATTCCCGGTACAATTTATCTGTTTATGGCAAAGTGTGGCAGGTCCCTAATAATGTCAAGTGCCAGGCCTGTCACTAGGAGGAGGGATATCTGGTCAGGGAGGGAAGAGGTGTTGGTAACGGCTGGGGACCTGTAGGAGGAGGTCATAGGGCAAATGAGGATGTGGTGAAAGAGGGTGTGAGAATCGGTTGACCACAAAGTTTACAAACAGTGCGGCCAGGCTCCAGGATGCCAATGTACTAGGCATGGCGAAGTACAGTGGGGGTGGTGGAGGTGATATGGTGTGGTGGGGCAGGTACAGTGGGGGGTGGAGGGAGGCACATAGGCATTGACAACATTGAGGACACACCTTTTAGTGTAATTGTGATGGTGTGTGCGTCGACATGTCGGTGGGGTACAGGTAGCCGGGGGTGGTGTCCTCAGGTCCAATAGGTAGCCCTGGTGGAGACAGCACAGACACAGTAGCAGGCGCGGCTTGCGGTGGGTGGAGGACAGGTTGAGGCACCAAGTGTCGTGAAGATGGAGTAGGACTTCGCTCGGGGGCAGCAGGACACACCAGGGCAGGCCCGGTAGGCACTACACCAGTAGTGAAAGCCGCCGGCGGTGGAGTAGGCCGTTAGCAGAGGCACTACCAGCTTGTGTCAAACCAGAAGAGAGGAGTGACTGGGTGGCAACAGATGGCAAGAGTAGGTCGGAGATGGTGGTACAGAGTGTAGCGAAGAGTTTTTCAATACGGTTGGTAAATTCTTGGAAGAGGGATATGATCTGTGTCATGTCACTGGCAGGGGGTTGTGGGAGGGCACCGGTGGGAGCACAAGGCCTGGCAGCTTCAGAGTAGAGACGGGGAGGGGGCCCAGTACTAGTTGAGTTAGGAGACGGCCGGGACTGCTGTGTTGTAGCCAGGAGAGGCCAGGCAGAGGCAGGTGTTGTTGAAGAAGGTGTTGCTGGAGACAGAGGGTACACAGAGGGGTGCGCCCCGGTAGACTGGGGGGAGGGAGGCGTTGTGGTAGATGCAGCCTTTGGGGAGGCTTTTCCCCTGGGACAGACGGGCGATTGGGGCATTGCCATGAGTCAGCATTGTGCCGGCCGCCACAGTTACATCACCTGGGATCAACTACATAGCCCACATTTTGATTTTCTGGGCACAGGCGGCGGAGTTATGGTTATGTGAACAGAAGCGACATCTGGGACGATCACGTCGGCAGCAGGCAGTGAAGGTGTGACCCCAATGAGAACAGAAAACACAAAATGCAGGCCCGGGGTGATAGAATTCTGCGTACAGTGGAGGGAGGAGTGGGTGGGCATCCACAGTGGTTGGGCACTCCCTTCCCTTCCACTTGACAATGACAGCAGCTTGTGGAACTCTCCCCCGGTAATGGCGACGTATACTCAGTATACTAAAGTTAAAGTCACGCGCCTTCTTCGATGTCAGCGTATAAGGGGAAACGTTTCACTAGGATGTGGCAACATTCATCCACGTCTACTGGGGGGGGGAGGCACCAGGACGACCCCATCAAAGCCAACAGTACTCAATGTTTCATAGACCTTAGGAGTCTGACACTTGACAAAGTTCCGGTTCTTACCTTGTCGGAAATAAATGTCGAGTCCGTGCTGTCTGCAGTACTTCATCATCCAATTAAAGCAGTCCTCTACAGTTTTCAGTGAGTCCTTGGAGAAGTGTAGATTAAGCTTATGGTTGGCAGAGGGCAGGGTGATAGAGTCTGTGGTATTAGTGTCTCCACTCTGGCTAGTGTTTCCCATAGAAACATTACCGTCACTGTCATAATCACTGGGGTCTGACTCTTGAAGGGTGTTGAGTTCAGTATGACCAGGCGAGTTGGTGATGGCATCCATATCAGAGATGTCTGCGTCCATGAGAGAGCCTCTTCTGGGACGTTTATGTCGACCCCCCATGCTGGCAAAAACTTGCCGGCTGAGGGGACCTTTGTGGGACGATCGGGAAGTCGAGAGCACCTATGGGCACGTCTGTCCCCTTATGTGGTCACGCTAACACTGCCGATTAGCATTGTAACGGTCAATCGCACTTTAGTTGTTGCCAATTTACCTTATTGCTACTAAATTCCTGATTGAGAATGCATAACCAGATAACGATATAAGTATGCATAACTTGGTACCGGTTTTGAGCAACTTATAATACGGTGTCAATCACTTGAGAGGTATCAGTCTATTGCACTTACCACATCCATGTGTATATGGCTTCCGCTTATTACTTTGTCTCTTTTGGTGTCGACCGATGGCCTTGTTAATAGTTGTCGATGAATTGTTCGTTTGTGTCTTAATCGAGTGTTGCTAGGATACCAACGAATCGCGCGGTTTGTACTTCCATCGACAAAACACAGGACTGTGACTGGAAAGAAAGATCACCTGAGTTTCTTGGGTGTAGGGCTCACATGTGTGTAGCTTTTGAAGGTATAACAGTATATATCCTCTGAGGTTAGATAAGTAAATGTAAAGTATCAGTATTCATGAACTGTACAAATATTATTTGCCTAATGACCATATATAAAATAGTTGATCAACTAAGAGGACAGCTACCTGTATAGTATATATTCAAAGTCTTTCATTTAGCTTGACAGAGGTACCAGGTAAATAATTTGGATATATATACTGTATATATATATATATATATATATATATATATATATATATATATATATATATATATATATATATATATATATATATATATATATATATATATATATATATATATATATATATATATATATATATATATATATATATGCAAGTAAATCACTGTAGGTGCGCATGATCTAGGTATATGCTGATAACCACAAGGAAAGAAGAAAACACGAAGTTCCCAAGCGCTTTCGTGTAATTCACATCTTCAGGGGTGAGTACAGATTGTACTCTAACTACCGCCCAATCAGT